CTTTTAAATTTGGAAAAAGTCCAGAAAAAACCATGAACCATGGTGGTGGCTGTACTCCACTCCACCAAACTTAAGACGTAGGGGCGACATGTATGATTTTGCGTCGTCCCTATACACACCTCCCGGCCCGATCGTGGACATCGCCTATGTCGCGCCCAACACATATTGCGCGTGACATAGGACGCCCCCAACGATGGAACTCAGTTAGTTTAATTGAGAATTTGTCTATTGATACGGGCGGCCAAAAGAGTCAAGATCGGCCAAAAGGGTCAAAATTAATTTTATAAAAATATAGTATTATACGGTGGAAACAAATTCGTTTGATTAAGAATTTTTCTAATGATTTGCTTTTAGCTTCGTTGTTAAAAATTGAAATAAACTGTTGGCCACCTTTGGTTAAATTTCGACAATTTGCTTTCTTATTTTATTAATTATTTCGTATTTTGATTTACTGTTGTTTTTTAGGAACTTTTTTGGGGCATACTGTTTTCGAATGTTGGTTATTTATTTTTAAATAATTTCTTTTAGGAATGTTTTTTGTGTTTGTCTTGTGTTTTACTAGTTACATTTTGATAAGAGAATAATGGTCGCCCGTCATGGTAATTGTTTATTTTTGGTAAAATTAAATTTGGTGACATATTACTTTTAATTTTTGTTATTTAATTTTTCAATAACTTGGTTTGTAAATGGTTTTTGGTGTTTGTTTTGCGTTTTGTTGTTTTTTTTTTTGCTTTTTTTGTTTTTTGGCCGCCCATATCTGAGCAGAGAGGAATGCCATCAGTGTTGCATTTGGGGAAGATCTATCAGTAGCCTTAAAATGGCAGAATGACCACTATATGTTCCTGACAGAGCCCCAAATCGCCCCATGTGTACCTCCTGGTCCTCAACACCATCAACACTCTGTCCAGCAGATGGAAGCGCCGTACGATTTATTGAAACAACATTTTATCTTAAGATGGCGACACATTTCGGGCAAGGTGCCAATATCCTAACATGATTTTTGGGATGATAGCATCTTGTAAAATCAAGATGTCAACATTCTGAAATCAAAGATTTTTGGATGACGACATTCCAAAGAACAGAAGTCGATATCCTTTTATAATTCATCACGGGACGGCAACATGCTGGTAACATATATCACAGGATAATGATATGGTGGAAGTGGGAGAGTAAATCCCACTCTGGGTAATTTCGCGCGATGACTTTAGGTAAATACAATTCCGCCAACGTCGCCCACTCAGTGATGGATGGCTTGGTCTATCAAAAGTGGACAATCTAGAACCAGGCCCCATACGTTATTCAATATCAGCACAAAGGGAACCATTCACATGAATTGACTATGAGCCCCACGACAGTTGCACCCAATGGCAAAATATGAGGACGATGAGATTTCACAAAATAGACCAACATGGGTCATTTGTCGTTGACAGTTGAAGGGGTTCTTGTCCAAGGTGGTAGGTGCTTGCCTGAACTTGTCCACTGTTAGATAATTTAACAGTACGTATCACTGACCGCACCATTAGAAAAGCCAGATCTGAGTACTTGTTGGAAGTTGGAGAAAGTCTAAAAACTGGGGACACAAACCCTTCTGGAGACTCATCAAAAACAACCGCCAGATTTTTCAGGTGTTGCTGCATGAAATACTGCAAAAGGATTTGCTTAACCACCTGTAGAGAAAGCCAATGCTTTAAATGAACAATTCCAATCTGTATTCAAAGAAGAAGATCGCAACAGTGTTTTGAAAATAGCACCTGAGTTTCCAGACTTGCCACCTATTTACATATCTACTCATGGCGTAGAGAAGATTAAGGAATTTACAGTTCAGAAAGCACCAGGCAAAGGACCAGATTGGATAACTCCAAAGTTACTCAAAGAAAGTGCCAGCAGTATTGCTTCTCTGCTGACTATACCAGAAGTCCATTTCTACCGGTGAATTTCCGGCTAATTGGCTGAGGGCGCACGCCACTCCTTTTTTCAAAAAAAGGAAATCACTCAGGGCCAGGGAATTATCGTCCAGTTTCACTAACATCCATACCTTGTTAATTACTGGAACACATCATCCATTCAAACATAATGTTTCATCTGGAAAAACATGGATATCTAAATGATCAGCAGCAAGAACCGGTCATGCGAATCTCAACTTGCATTGACCATTGATGACGTTACTAAGATCCTCAACGACAAAGGCCAATTAGATGGACTTGAACAAGACCTTCGACTGCGTTCCGCAAGAAAGACTCTTAACTAAGCTTAGCCATTCGGGAATAAATGGCTCACTCCATACCTGGATTAGGACATTTCTTGCAAGTTGTTCTACAGGGTGGAACCTCATCTTCCATTCATGTAACATTTGGCGTCCCATAAGGTACAGTCTTAGGCCCATTACTATCTTTGGTCTTCGTGAATGACATCTCAAATGGAATTACATCGAAAGTACGTCTATTTGCAGACGACTGTATCCTTTACAGACAGATAGACAATATTAACGATACCCAGGATCTTTAAAATGATATTAACCACCTCTGCACATGGGAACAACGATGGCAAAGGAAGTTCAACAAGTCCAAATGTTACACCATGCGAATTACCCACAAAAAGAAACCAATTTTGGCAGATTACAGGTTGGGGGATACGGCACTACAAGCTGTCACAAACCACACTGACTTGGGAGTCGGGATCAACAATAAATTAAGTTTGGCAACTCATATTCAAGGTATTACCGCAAAAGCTAATCAAATTCTAGGTCTGCTACATAGAAATCTGTACAGCTGTTCTTCTGAAGTAAAGGCGAAGGCTTATAAAACACGAGCCAGATCCCATCTGGAATATACTTTTCATCAGTCTGGGATCCCAATCACAAGGAACATAAAATACAGCTGGAAGTGGTTCAACGACGATCTGCCAGATTTGTCTTCAACAACGACACAAAGAGGGAGAGCGTCACCAAAATGCTGTCCCAACTGGAATGGGAGCCCTTGGAACATCGTAGAGCAGCCCAGGGATGACCCTCCTCTACAAATCTGTCAACAAAATCGTTGCTATAAATACGGACTCATACCAGGCCAAACCAAACCATTCTACAAGATAACAGGTATCCTCCACCAAACCATCCTCACATAAAGACTGCTACACGTTCTCATTATTTCCAAGAACTTTTGCAGAATGGAATAAATTACCACCGGAAATACGTCATGCACCAAGCATTGCATTTTTCAAGTCAAAACTTCAATCTCTCAATATAGGTGACATCATCAGGGGGCTCACTTTCTGTAAATATCTGCTCAGTCAGGAGATTATGCAGTATTCCACCACAACTAGAACCAGAAAAGTTGACGATAGTTTGAAAGTGGGCGACGCGCTATCTTAGGATATTGATAGCCTATACTCATAGGATGTCGTCATCTCGTAATAATGTCTCTCAGGATGTAGTCATAGTGACATAAATTGTCGCCTGATGTCGACTTCTTGATTTCAGAACCACGTCATTCTCAGATAATTCATCTCAGGATGTCACATCTTCTCTGTAATTATAATTATGTTGTCATTCTGAGATAAAAAAAAGATAGAATAAAGCAGGATAGGGAATAAATCCGATTGCACTTCTGGAGCTCCTTAGTTTTTGCTTGGAACTGTTCAGGTTTTCACCTTATTTTCGTTATTTTAGCTCAAAATGACATTACTTATGAGTGATGTTAGATATGAGAAATTAAGCTAAGATCGGTGAAAATAAGAGATGCTAGTTAAATATTGGAATTAACCGACTTTAAGCGTCGATCTCGGGGGCAATCGCGACCATTTTTTCCTTTGTGAGTATCGTATTCAGGGACAGCTTCCATAACTTGTGGCATATTTTCTTATACATGTATGTTCACCTCTTATTTTCGTCCTCTGTTCAAAGGTTCCCTTCAGTCAACTATTGTGGGATTGGTTTGGTTTAGTCAGGTTTGGTTGGTTTGGGTTGGCCTTGTTGCAATTTTCTTTGGTTGGGTTTGGTTGGATTTGTTTGGTTGGGTTGGGTTTGGTTTGGTCGGGCTGTGTGGATTGGGTTGGGTTGGGTTGGGTTTCCAGAGTGGTGCAAAACAGAAAATATCTCTAACAGTCAGCGTATCCCATAGGTTTAGACCAAAGTGTGATGTTTCTATCAACTGTTTTTGCTATATCCGAAGAAATATTCTGTATACTTATTATTACACACGAAGCACGCATAGAGGACCACCAACGATGAAGTTGAAGGAAACAGGAAATGATTTTTTCTTAAAATCGCATTTTGTGTGTATCTGTACTCTTCTTCCATGTATGAAGACTGTTTGACATCTTTTTTGAGTTATGTGAACTGAAAGGTGCACTTCTTGAAACTTTAAAAATTGGCCAAGCATTTCTGGACAAGTGAGGGAGCTTTTCCTTTGATGTAAATCCAGGAAGACATCGTTCAGATTGCATGTTTTCATGTTCAAATTGTGAACTCCAAAGTTGCTATCTGGGAACATTTCTGTGAAAAGGATTTTGGCTGGATTATTGCCATATACTTACACCGCAGTAATTTGCCAAAGAAAATAAAATCCGCCATAGCAGTGCTTAAAGGAATCTAGAAATTTTTCGTGCACAAATCAGTGCAACATTGATATTTAGGGCCTTTGGATGACACCATAGTTCTGCTCATGAATATGCAAATACATGTAGCATTAGCATAAAACCAAAAAAGCATCAAAATGTTGGTTAAAATTGCAAAAACAAAAATTAAAATAAGGTTAATTGAAACCCAAAGATGCAATTTCAAGGGTTTTTAGTAAATTTATAAAAAAATATTTCTATTTCCTGGTTCATTAGTAGTATAGTAGTATTGGAAGGGAAGAGACAAGCCGCTGAAAAATAAATAATACTGGGTGAGCTTTGAGCTAGTTGATGGTTAACTTGCTAGATTATAATGTTTAAATATAGGCTACCGAGGTACCGGCTTTTAGTCGAGCGCCGTTTTCACGCTTATCAGCAATCCAAATATCAATCCGAATCGGACAATATAGTAGCATGTTATGGAGATAAGATCGTCAGTTATTTTGTGCCAATTTGTCAATTACGGGTGGACTTTACCCGCAAGTTGGCGAGAAGTTTGCAATTTATTGTGTGTGCGCGCTGTTAGGCGTACGCGCCGATTAGACAACTAAATTCGGCTGCAGCTCACACCGACAACGGCACTCACATTGGCGCGGTCGATTTTGAACCTAGAAGAGAATTTACTTCCAGTTATGAAAGGAAACACTCTGACTGCTTTCAAGCTTGGAAAATTGCCGTGTAAGAATGGATTTGACTCTGCAGTGCAATGCTAAAAAAAAGTGAAAACGACAGATCTCTGAGTGACTGATTCGTGTTAGTCTTGGAACTGCAAACTCCCGTAAGCTGCCACTCAGCATGGAGGAAGAATTCAACGAAACGGAATATTATAAAATTTTCAACTGCACATCAGACCCCTCAGCATCGGAGATGTTTGCATGTAAGATCATGTCTTCTTCCGTTTTACAGGCTCACACAATTATAATTCGTGCCAGGTGATGTGGACATGTACTCTAAAGGGGATTTTTTGTTAACCTTTTACAAACCAACTACAGGAAATTAGTTTAGTATTGCAAAAAAAATTGAAAACAAGAAAGTTGAGTTCATAAGGAACAAGGTGCGCTATTTCATTACATGGAGTGATCATGAAATCTGGTAAATACGCTTTTGTTCCAATGCCATGAGCAAAATTATTCAAACAAAGCACAAAATACTGTAAACAACGGGGCTATTTATTCCAAACTAATTCCAGAAGAAAGCGTTAATTAAAGGCAATGACTGCACATGTACATTTAGAGCACTCGGGGTAATGTAAACAACTGCGCAAGTACGAAATTGATGTTGCTATGAGATTATACCAAGCACCAACAAATGTATGAATATTCAATTTCCTATACCTCAGTACACAAAGTTTTAAGGATGCAGATTACCAGCGAAAAATTGTGGCGGCAGTCATGGGTTACAAAGGGGTTTTGTGGTTGCAAGCGCTCGCTGCGCTCTGGCTATGGACATACTGGGCATGCCAAAGAGCGGTAATTGGCCAGATGTTATTGCCCAGGCAGTTCAAACTCCTTCTGTGTCCTTCCTCTATGGTTAGTCCTGGCATATACTGTGGTGTTTGAGATGCAATCATCCCACTTTCTATTTTGCAATAATAACTATTTGAAACCATATAAAATAATTATGTTGCTAGCCCCAATTCATCCATTCCCACCACTTGAGATACACTATACCTGGGGTTATTTTTAAATCCGTATAAAAATGAATAAGTATACTCTAACAAACGTCACTTTCTTTTTATAGTACATTACATTTATAGCATTTTAAATATATACATGTAAATAATATTTAAATAAAATCTAGTGAACTGACTGACAAAAATGCATAATTGAAATTGAACAGGTCAACGATTTAGGCAACACAGAACAAGAAATTTCCAATAATTTGTTCTGACAAGAAACGTTTATTAGAATAGTTGAACAAACATTGGTAGAACGTTCGTTTGATTTTCTAAACTATATTTTATTCAAAATTAGTGATGCAAAAATCCTCTTTTCAATCCTTCAAGATTTGGAGCTCTACTAAACTTGGGCACCGTGTTGTAATTTTTCCCCTAACGAAGTAAACTGCTCACCGCAGTTGGTGGAGGTGGGCGTGGGAAGGGATCACGTTGCTAGTGTACTAATCAGGCATTTTTACCCCTCTCCCCAGGGTGTGCCCCACCACCTTCACAGTTGAATTTCATATGCATGTAAGCCAACACCAGAGGCCCTGAACGTGCTAGTTGCCCTCCCATCAAACAGTAAACTCTTGCCGTCAACAAGTGGTTGGAGGGAATGGTGTATTTGGGGGCCCTGATCCTGTAATAAGCGAGGCCTACATTTTAACTTTTGGATTCACCTAACTAGATGACTGTGACATCATACTCAATGTATAACCAAATAACCAACAATAACCAAACAACACTTTAAATTTCTTTATCTTTGCCTCAATTTCTTTTTCTACCAACTTATTACAACGAATGCCAGGGCCGCCATGTTGAGACACATTCCCCGGGGACTTTGATCACCCGCTAGTTTGCACAGTTTCGCAAGAGGTCATTGATTTGTTGCCTTTTAAAATCTTTTATCGTCATTCTCACCGAATAACCCTCTTATTTGCTAATCTTATCAGCAACCTTTGGATCCGGCAATTTGAAGTTAATTTAGGGCAAAATGTAACGAGTTCCATATGAAGCTTGCACCGTCGGTGCAAGGATGCACACATTAGGGGCGTCGATCCTACGTGGGGACGGGAGCATATATCTCCCACCTTCCCACACACACCTTTTGACTGGGATTGGCCCATTGAATCATGTCCCCATCCCAACTTTTTCGTGAAAAGGAGGAAAAGCAAGCGAATTTTTAGGGATTTTGCGAAATTCCCGACAACCAGAATGGATTCAATGGTACTGAAAAAGAAGAAAATTAAAAAAGCTTCAAATGCAAAATAGTGTTATGTGGTGTTCTGCAACCACCGCTCTTCGAATTTCCACGGCTGGGGCAATCTCATCCTCCACCCCCTACTCCTGGGCCAAGACGGCAGAACTCGATAGTGGACTCGATCGAGCATAATTAATGCCTCGCTCACCGATTGTTATTGCGCCCTCTCGTGACTTCAATCGACGGCTCGTTGTACTGTCTTAGGAATCTCCTACAAACCGTTTAAATTTTTCTTTACTTTTCCTCCGGATTTCCGGAGGAACCAAACACCGCCCGGGAAATTCCAGTTGAATACGTATGTATGAACATGGATCAATGACCTGCATAACATGACCTATCACGTGATATAATGTACATGTAAACGTAGTACTACGCGACGCCAAACGTACTAGTTAGGTACCAGTAGGCCCTACTGTCACTGTTAATAATGGCCGCGGTCGATGCATTGGAACAAGGAGCGAAGAAGTAAGTCTGTAAAAGACTTCCTACAACAAAACTGAAGAAAGAACAAGGTGACGCTATTAATGCGAACCCGCTCCAACGTTCTGTTTTGTATCCTATTTCGCATCTTAGGGTCAATGTGAATATTCATATAAACTACTATTTTGCATACAAAGGCCACGCCTCGGTTGTGGGAGATTCTTAAGACGGTAGACTTGACTAAAGTCGGGATCTTTGTGACGTCTTCGTTTCTGCTTTGGACACATCGAACGAAACCACACCCCGTTGCTTGCTTTGCGCCCCTCTTGTGTCCACTTATTACTTGAGTTCAGCTCAGATATCCCGACTAAGTTGACGAATTTGACAACCGTTTGTACACAGCGAATGGGCTCATCTACCAAAAGTGGTAGCAGCCAATCACTTTGCCAGGCTTGTTTTTACGTCGTTCATACCTGCGTTAAAATGAACGGAGTCTACAAGTCTGGCTACTTTGATTGGTGGAAATTCTGTATGCGTTATGCAAGTCATGCCATTCATGTGCAATTGTGAATTACTACATATCACCGACAGGGGTCCGATTGGCTTATCCGTCAAGTCGGACTTACTGACTGGTGACGTATGACACACGTTGTACAATAACGGCTATAATGAGGGCGCCTTATGAGGGTTATGCAACTATATATATATATATATAATTATATATATAACGGGTTTGCCCTTACCCACTCTATGCTCAGTGCTTGTCCGAGAGCTTGCGAAAAAACCTCATAAGCTTGCTCGGGTGGGACTCGAACCCACGACCTCCTGCTTACTAGTGCAGATGTCTTAACCACTCGACCACCGAGCTTGCCGGGGTCGGCTGGCCGGTCCGAGTCAAATGAACTATACCTGACAACAAATCGTATTTAATCAAACACTTGAAAAATTTGAAGAGGGGTCATTGAGTGCCCATCAATTTGCCAATCAATCTAAGGTCTAAAGGTAAAACATAACTGTATTTCGCATGAAAAACATTTAAATTATTTCTGATTGGACATGTACGAGTTCAGTATTTGGACTCCTTTAGTTATAACGATTTCCACTAGCAAAACACTTCATTTGTATAGGCGTATACTAATCGGGAAGTTCTAAGAAAAGGACCACATGAATCCCCCTCCCCAAAAAAGCAGAGAACAATTTCATGAAGTATAAGCAACAAATTAATTGTATTCATCGTTTAAATTTTCCAGCCTATTGTCTTTGCTGATGAGGCTATACTCTGTCAAAAAGTTCCTCATACGAACTTCAACATTTTCACTTCCTCGAATTTCAGTAGTCTAAATGCCTTTTCTTCTACTTAGAAATCCAGTTCATTAAAATTCAATTGTCGTCAGGGGTCGTTATACTGTAAACGAGTCAACGCCTTATACTTAACAGCATGTTTTCCATTTGACTTCGAATGAAGATGGATATCAACCTGAGGTGAATCCGTGTAAAGACGATTTCTGTTCTTTCAGATTTTGAACACAACCCAGGGGGCCTGGCTTGTCTGATCATCGCTACTGTCATCACGGCAGTTCAAACAGTTATCATGATCGACGGTGTCATCTGGATATCGAAGAACATTCCACACGCAGAGAGATCCACCTCCATGATGTGGCTGTACAGTATCTGGCCGGTGAGAAATACTTCTCATTTGCAACACGTGTTGTAAAATTAATGGTCACTGTTATGCACAAGAACGGGGCTCATCGAAATTGAAGCACGGGGGTAAGCTAAGTCCCTTTAACCCTTGAAGAGCCCAAAGGAGGTGTAGAACTCGCTGCAATCATCGTCATAACGTCGCTGTGAGATTTTTTTCACGTGCCGAGCTTTCAGGATTTTTTTAAAGTAACATCAGGCAGTTCGTTTGACAACATCGTTGTGAAAAATGGAAATACCGTTCGCACGCAGCGCACATTTTTCTGAGACAGGTCAACCAAGTATGTACACTTTTTTCATTGAGTGCTCGAGACATGCTGGCCGACACACATGTAGCCTTGAATTTCAAATAACCAACAAAACCGTAAGTCGGAAACTGTACAGATGCGAACCACACGTAAAGACAATCGGGAATGAGGCAGCCGAGTTCTTAGGGGCAGAATCCGCACTGCCCCGTGTGTGAGATTGTCCGAAACAAGCTCTTTTAATACATGCACTAACAGTTCTTACATAGCGCATCTAGGAATGTCTCTGGGTATTTATTATCATTATTCATGCAAATCGGGCTCACATCATCTGAACATTCCTGAAACCATGTCAGATCCCTGGGGAGTATACTAGCCTGATGCTGCCATTTTGGCGCAAACGGCCGACCATAACCGTGTCTGCCGTCACAGGTACCCATTTACTCCTGGAGGGATCGAGAAGCACATAGGGTAAAGTGACTTGCCCAAGATCACAACATGCTGCCACAGCTGGATTCGAACCCCCCGACCCTATGATCAGAAACTACAAAACCCAACCACTAGGCCACATGCCTCCTTGTCTGGAACAAGCTCTTCTATGGTTTAAAGTGCTAGTCTTGCAAATACATTTTTGTTTCATTAATTTAACCTCCATTTTAATTTTATTTTACCATTTTGAGAGTATTTTAGTGCCATTTAAGTCCTATGATATAATGAATTTGCTTGTATTCGTGTGCAAAAGTATGATCTCTTTTAGGAAAAATATTCAATGTCACACCTATTTAAGCGCCGAAGTTTTTCAAAATTTTGGACATTTTACTTTCTGACACTTTCCTTTCTTGCGGGGGTATCCTATTTCTCTGAAATTATTGAAATTTAAAAACAAAATTTTCAAAAATGCACTTTTCAATAACATTAACCAAAAAAGATGACTAATCGTCCTCACGCATAGTTTGCAGTAGAAGAAAGCATGCTTGTATTCGAGTCATGAAACATCGAGTCCAAGTCACATCTCTCGAGTCTCAGTCCGAGTCCCAAATCATCCGGGTCAAGTCCGGGTCCGAGTCCGCGAGCTCGAGTCCGAGTCATTTTTCAAAGTGACTCAAGCCCGAGTCGCAGTTTTAAAAATGTGACTTGAGTTGGACTCGAGTCTGAGTCAGGAGTCACACAAGTCTGGTGGAAAGTGGTAAAAAATATCTTCCCAATTAAAATTACATGCACCAAAGTGTGAAGTTTTGCACCGAATGCTTAATTTTACTGATGTACAGAAAGCATGGGCGTCGTAAGGACGGAGGGGGAGGGTACTCCCCATCCACCCCTGGAAAACGAAGAAAAAGATAACCACTGGGCAAAAAGGAGAAAAGTAAAAGTGTGAAAAACTAATAATAAAGAAGGTGGATGAAAACTACCCCTTTGCATAAAAATACCTCAGAATCATGGGCGTGAACTCCGAAAAATGTTGCAATGCCCCCATGGGAGCGAGCCATTTCCTTAAAACCCAAACCGTGTTCCCTTCAAAGACTTCATTATGATTATTCTTTCTTCCTCTAAGGTGTTCTGTATCGTCTTTTTGTGCGGTTTGTACATACCCAAAGCTGCTCTTCTTTCCAAAGCCGGCGCAAATTTGTGAGTATTAAAATCGGAACTCAAAGTTGTAATTAACTGGCCTCCTTCCTGGAGCCGAAGTCATCATGTGGACGAGATTCAATGTGTGTGTCAAAGATGCCAGCAACTAACTTGTAAACCCAAATCACGGCGATGGCTCATGATGCCGACAAGACCTTAAATGGGACACCCCAGTTAAGGTAGTTTATAGTTATGTTATAGTTTGTCAAGATGGCAAGTTAAAATTCTTACAATTAAAATACCTGCCGACACTGAATTGACTCAGCCTGAATTGAGGGTAAATAACTCCACCTTACCGCTCAGAGTTCAATTTGGGACGGTCGCATTTTAACTTTTTTTAATCTGCCAATTTTCAGACAAACAACAGGCGTCTGTCCATGTTAAAAGTCGATAACCCATAAATGTCTTGCGTCATTTTGGTTCTATTCTTGATATTTTTCCTTTCCTTCTCCATTCTTTCCCTCTCTGGGGACAGGTTTCTATTCCCCACAGTTTACAACTACTTAGCACTCCTTGTTGACTACTTCGGCGGGGAAGACGCCATGATAGGTAAGATGAAAGATGACCCTGTCAAGTACAATAAGCCTCCGTGCTGTTGTTGCTGTCCACCAAAGAAGTGCCGCGGAATCTTGAAAAGGTGAGAAATGCAGACTTGAATGACAAAAACAGTAGACTAGAGCCAAAACGAGAAGAGATGCACATCTTTTACAAAGGTGGACTGTCTGGGAACAAACAACTTGTCGATTCACAATAGTGCGCCACCAAGACTTTGCAACGCACACTTCTCTCTATAAACTAAAGAGATGGTCACACCCGTGCTGTTGCAAACCTTCACAGGTTGATGCCATCACGGCAGTTTCAAGTCTTGATTAGAATACATCTATAAATTACTCTTTGCGAGTTATATGGTGGGGGACAAGATAGATCGGACGACCTTGCTCGAACGTTAGGGAAATTTTCGTTTCCAAATTATCAGCTACGGATGTAAATAAACGTGCCATTGCTCTGTACGAGTGCATCTTATTCAAAAGACGCGCTGACTTTCGTGTACGTTGTACTTGCGCGTTGCATTTAGAATACTTTACTCGATACTCATTCATCTGATTTCGAATTTTCCACAAGTACGCACATGAATTCAAAATGTCTGTGCCCAGGACGGCGTCATGATTTTCTCCGCGTGGAGAATGAGAAGTTAGCGCTCTAGTTTTATAGCTCTGTGCTGCACCCGTAAGTTCGTAGTGGCTTGAGATACCATGTGCGGCTATGGAGTCTACTGGCAAAAAGGCTGCAGGATCCCAACAGTCCTGTGTGTTAATCCTATAGCCTTAACAACCACTTTATTCAGACACGGCTTTACATTTTTCCCCTTTTGTTGGTCTCATTTCCAGGCGTCAATACAACGTTCTAGAGCTCCTCGTCATGCAGGTTGCAGTCGTCCAACCGCTACTCTTGTTTCTGTCTGAAACCTTCATCATTGACGGGACTTTTCCAATGCAAGACCCTTTTGTAAGCGTCAAGTTGTTGGTGGTTCAGAAATTTCATTTCACATTTATACCGTGCGCATTATCGACGTAAAATAATTATGATCGCAGGCAACTTTGTTTCGTGTCGTCACTGCCAACTAAGTCCATGTTGTCACCACTGTCAGCATTATCCACTGTACCACACATCCCATCACCCTCGTTACATGTTATGTTGTTAAAGTTACAGCCTACCAGTACGCGATCCGATTTCCCCGCGCCTATGATGTGGCTTTTAGTCCCCCTCTCCCCCCCAAAAAAAAGTTTTCTGAGATTTAGGCATCGGTGTTGCATGACGCTTGGCAACTGGCCGTCGTGTGCGACACTCAGACACAAAACTTTAACATGTAAAATTGACACAGAAGCAGGTTGCGCATGTTATTAACGGATCCGGGGACAGGGGACCGTGTTCCCCTTCCTTAATTAAGGGATCTAAACAAAATTTATTTGAAAAAAAAAGAGAGACAAAGGTAATTTATTCGGTCTATTTCATTTATGATGTAAACATTAATTGGTTCTGGATCTACCCTTGAATTCGGACACAGGGTTCCATGAGTACCAATGTGTTATGACAATGGGTGAACAACATTATTTTCAAAGACGTCTAATCCATCGAATCATGAAAATAGAAGGGGTGCTACCGATACATTCATGTATACGTCGTTGTCCTGTATTCCCCTTAGGTGTGTCGTCAAAACATCACTCTGCATGTCGTTGAAGCTTCCTTCCTCCTCACCACTCTCTCATGTCTCTTTTAAAATCCAGAATTACATGGCACCGGGTCTCTACATACAAATTCTAACCGTGATCAGCACCCTCACGGCGATGCAGGTTCTGGGTTCATTCAGTTCTGCCTTCGCGCCTCGTCTCACTCAGTACAAGTACAGCACCGGGCCCAAATTCGTCATCGTCCAGTTTGCTCTGCTGATGTGCAACGTCCAGAGCACGCTGATCAACTTCATCGTGGGCGCGGTGTCCTGCAGTAATCCGTACCCGTACAAATCCCGCGACAGCAGTGAGTTAACTTGACTCTGGAGAGAGATTTCCAGATTTCCAACCTCAGGAATTTGGAATTGTTGGGATCGTGTTGTCAGGTGTCACTTTTCTCTCTTAGATGCCGTCTACCTGTAGCGACAAATCCATGGAGTGTCAACAGGGTCCACGCCCCCCTCAAAAAAGGCTATATTTTGTTATCACGTGAAAGTTTGTTCAAGGGATTGGGACTTACGTTTCCCCTTATTCCCCAAGTGTGTAAAATAAAATGTGAAATAAAAATTTTAAAAATTCTCGCCCTATAAGACAGGCCACACAAGGTTTATCAAGAAATTCCAAAAATTTCTCAATTCCTCCAAAATGGTCCAGGCAAAAGTTCGAATAAACCTTCAATAAAAACCTCGTTGACATAGCATTGCATCAAGGTATTGGATGACAAGCAAGAAATGCATTTGCCACGAAGCTATGGAAGATGTGAGCCCGCAAAACTTTAATCAATTAGTGGTTATTAAATACCCCGGATAAAGTTATTTTTTCATTGTATGGCATTGAAGATTTTGATTTTAGATGACCCTTGCGGGAATCCCTTCTACAAGTATGATATTCTGTCTTGAACTATGACGGTGAATGTCAATAGGTTAGCATTGACCAATCGGAATCAGGATAAGAAACTCGTTCCTACCGCGTTGGCAAATCACGTTCATTCTTTTAGGCTGATGACTGACACTTAAAAGAACGCCTCTAAGGAAAACATGTTTTCTCCGACCAATTTTATCTGTTCAAATAAATATGTCCTTGTGCATGTCAAGCAATGCCTACATACATTGTACTGCATGTAGGCATTGCTTGGCGTGCACAAGGGTTTATCCGCTACAAACACAGTGCGGGGGTTCCGCCTCGTTTTCTCTGAATGACGCAGTCTACATTCAGAACTTGCATGAACAGGAAAATAGCCCCGTTTAGCTTTTTAGAGTTGAGCTCTGAAGACAAGTGGCACTGCCTTCGACACTTCCATATTGATTTCAACAGATAAAATCGGAGAAAACATGTCTTCCTTAGACGCGCTCTTTAATTAACGATATCTGGGGCTTTCTCTTTACTTTTTATATACTCTTATTTTTCCAAAATACTTTTTCAATACAGCCACCACTGATATTATAAAGAGCATGTTCTCATAAGGTTTCGGGACAAAAATTAATGTTTGACTGATTAGCTTCCTCCGTGGGGTTACGCAAAGCCTGGCTCCCAGGCCAAAAGATGTCAACTATTTTTGAGAGATCTTCAGGTCCGGTAGCGGCCACGGTAACATAACAAAAACAGGATATTTTACGAACCCCATGTCGTTGATATTTCGAGAACTGTCGATACCAATAGCGGGTGTATATAAACTGATTTCCTTTATCGCTTTGCTCGCATGCAGTACAATTCTAAACCAATTCCCCAATTTCTTTTTCAACGGATATGTACATGTTTCAGCGAAAAGTAACATCCTACACTTGAGGTCATACATTTTCATTATCAATACGGCAAGATAAAACCTAGATTATGCTTAAAATCAAACGCTTGTTTGTCATCCAATCCAGTGATTCGATGTGAAAGTCTGAGGTTTATCCCCATACGAGTGTTTTGTGTTGTTAAAGTTCCGGGTACATTCGACAAAGATTAGAGATTCGCTCAGCAATCGTGCCAAGTTATCCAAATAATAGCTGGCCTTGCTAATCGGCTAGTGACCACTCTATCCTTCCAAATTAGATTCGACTGACTCACAAAGCCGATTGAAGTTTAGAGTGTTGAGCAATTTTGGAAAAAAAAAGGTATCCACCGTGCATGGGGTATGTTCAATGGTGCAGTACACATAATGGCACTACGGCATACTCTGTATTTTTATTGTGCATAATTATTTAGGCACAGTATTGCCTTGCTGAATTTGCCCAAAGATTGCTCAAAATAATATGATCTGACTTGATATTGATCACCCTGATACTCCTTCATGGTGGATCAATAACCGAATATTAGGGGGTAAAACCGAATTTTTGTGGGGGGGGCACAATCACATAAGTTTTAGCAAAATTTATCTAGTTATTGTGCATCAGGAAGGTCTTAAGAAAAAAAAGGTGAGGACAAAACAAACAAACAAACGAACAAGGTTCATCATAACCAGAAAAATGACACACTCGAATCCCAAGGATGTCGGAAAAGTAAGACTTTTGATCCCCCGGTCGATCAAAGAAAATAGTATCACCTCTTCCTATTTTTCTTTCGCCACAGTGTGGAACGGTTTCCTCGTAATCATTGAGAGCCTAATCTTCCAGCCAATTTGCATCAAGAACCTCCGTACCCTGAAGGGGAACGTGTTGTTTCTACCGCCGCAGCTGAAGAAGTCCAGCACGTACGCGGGGTCGCTGGTGAAAGCCGGCGGCGGGTCCTTGCTGGAGAAGGCCTTGGAAGCGACCGACCTGAACAAGGCCACGGAGAAGACGCCGCTGTCCATACGCCGCTCACGCAGCAGCAGCAATCTCAAAGAGGGATATGGAAGTGTCATCACGGTATAACCGCGTACTTCTCAAGCCCGTATCTCAGTAGGTTGCGACAGATCGCGACTATTGGAGACACAAAATTGTATGAAAATCTGCGAATCTAGCGACAATTTTCACGTGGACTCACACTGATTTGGTAAGGCTTATGAATCATTTGCGTATGTCATTTGCAGGGGAAGCGCACGAGCTCCCGGCAAAATTTCGGCCAGAATTTGCCTGGAGTTCACATACATGCCGTGCGACTGTTCATGTAGCATGACATTCGCGCCTGTCTCGCACTTGGAATGTCAGATTCTCATTTTTGCCTTCAACCAGTCACAGTTTTGTTTCACAGGTTGCCAACCCCTCACAACGTTGTCTAATATTTCTGGCACTTTCTGACTCATGGAAACTAAATTGAGAAGGGTTCGAGACACTTGCGACGACTCTGTGACTATTTTGAGAGAAAATATGTCGCACATTTTTTTTGAATCGTTCAAAATTCCCGCGACACGAAAGCGAGACCCTGCGACTCAAGCGAGGAAATTGAGAACCCCCACGAGCGTTTCGAGACATTTTGGAAACTCTTTCGGAAATGCCGTTCGCAATTTGCCGCCAATAGTCGCAGCCAAGTGAGAAACGAGCTTTAGGGAAAGCGACAGCTTGACTAGGGACCAGTGTCAGAGAACAGCGAAGTCCTCCTGCTCAGTGAAAAAACCACAGACAAGTTCCCGGTCAATATTGCATGCACGTTGTATATTGCTCGCAGTTAATTTCTGATGCATGAGATAGAAGCGAGCTTTAAATACTGTGATTGAAAGAACAATGACCGGTCCGAAATTAAGTACATGCGCCACCTTTGAGGAGCGTTGTCCATCTTCGAAACTCGCATGCACAGTCCAGGATATCCGGTTGTTCAATTTTTGAGGTCTGTATAAAATCAAGCCTTAATGCATGGTTTGTATAGGTTCTTGGATTTAGAATGTTTAGTGGTACTGACACCGATTGGTCCGAGTCTGGCTTTAGGGGTTAGTAATATCAAAAGTGCACTCGTATTGCTGTGTTAACTTTACCAGTTTTGCCCGACCGTGGGTTGCTTTCGCGCGCTCTTAGCCAGGATTACTTCCCAAACTCCACCTTCTTTCCAAAGCCAAGGCTAGCCACCAACTTCATGAACAAAACCCTGGCGATTTCAGCTCACAATCGGTCGAATTTCTGCTACACATATACATGGGGATCAGACCACATGATTTGAAATCAAAGACGGGAATTTCTAGGTGGAAAGCCTACTAACAGCCCTAGAGTCAAACACAAAATATAAACCCGCACACGATTCCCGAGCTCTGATGAGGTCAAGTTTGCATTCATGGGGCTGCCGGACTGACGCACAATCTGAGCGAAATTTACGGCATCTGCACCGTCCGAAATCTTCGGTGTTCTGCTAAGTTGGGATAAGTAGAGTTAAACAGTAGCAGCCAAATCATTCCGACACAGCCAATTTGGTTCAATTGGACTCTGCTTTCGCAGCTTGGTCAAACGCCGGACCAAGTCTTTGGGGGAGGAGATAAACCATGCGCGTATTAAGAGAAGATGATGTGCGAATGAATGGAAGACTGTAAGCACTGCAGTGCAATCAAGTATATATCTTCAAAGGTGAAGTACATTTGTATCGAATTCCGTTGTTAGGAGAATTTTTGGAACTTCGTTTTTAAGAGATATTTCCAAAGTTCGTTTGTTTGAGACATACATTCTCCAATTCGTTCTAATAAAACATTGTTTCTATTTTGGAAATTATTCGTTTTTACGAGATAAGGTAAGTACAGGTAATATGGACCATTAAGCTCATTTACATAATTTGCATGAAGACTGAGAGAACAATTAGAAAGAAACATTGGGTGTTGGGAAGAGTAACAACTACTTTTCCTTTAAATGATACAACTTACACCATGTTATTTCCATAACAACAGTTAAGATGCAAAGTATGACGTCATCACCAAAGGCAGTATGGGACAGCGTGATGTGCAGGTAATATGGGACACTGATTCTAAGACAATGTAATGACATTATAATCATTTTGCACAACTGGAAATATTTACACATGCTATTTCATTTAACACGTTTAATGGAAATAAAAAGCATCCTTTGACATCTCCATACATAAAACTCAGACAAGACGTGTAATTATCTCACTTTTAAAATGTTTATTTAAGTTCGGTTTAAGACGATACAGTTTATGATGTTCATTTCTATGAGTTATGGAAATTTTTGTGGGATAAATAAATTCAAACTTGAAAATGTATTTCTTGAAAATTAGCATAACTTGGCAAAAATATACACGTATTTCATAAAAAACAAACTTGATAAAATGTATTTCGTAAAAAAAAATATTTCTAAAAATAGACACGTTTCTAAAACTAGATCCCATAAGAACGAACTGGAGAAGATAAATATCGTACAAACAAACTTTGGAAAAAAAATCGTAAAGACGAAGTTGAAAAAAACCAAATAAAACGAACTTCGAAAAAAGACACTTTATAAAAATGAACTTGAATAAAACAACTCCCCTTTTTGAAAATACATATTAGATGGCACTACAGGGCTTTCATACAAGCCTTTCATTCATGACATCACAAGGTGATACCCAATCACGGCCAACTGTACTCACTGCAAACAAATTGTCGCAGGATCAACCTGCATCAGAACTACAGGTATCAACTGACGATTTACAATATTTGGCTTCCTGAAACCTACGTCATTCTGTAAACCTGAATGAGCAAACACAATTTATGGTCAAATCTATTAGGGAAATATAAAAACCGATACCTGCAATGAAATCAGAAACTAAAACCAAACGATAAATGCACAACAAACTCTGTAAATAAGTAGGCGTTTTTCAAAATTCAAACTACATGTATCCGGTATAACTTGATTACATTTGTAGTAAAAATCGTACATATGTAGGGATTTTCTTCGGAGAAACTAGGCTGCATGACACTCGGCTTATTATGACAATTCTGACACTCCGCTCATTATGACAATTCTGACACTACGCTTATTACAACAATTCTGACACTCCGCTTATTACGACAATTCTGACACTCCGCTTATTACGACAATTCTGACACTCCGCTTATTACGACAATTCTGACACTCCGCTTATTACGACAATTCTGACACTCCGCTTATTACGACAATTTTGACACTCCGCTTATTACGACAATTCTGACACTCCGCTTATTACAACAATTCTGACACTCAGCTTATTACAACAATTCTGATAATGAAGGATTCTTAATTTTGCATTCCTTAATCCATTTGTGCCACTTTCAAACTACTGGTGGCAAAATAGCTATCTCCCTGACACCAAATAGTATAAAACTCACAAAAGACTTGGTGATAGTTCGAGAGCTTCCTTCATCTAAAAGGTTCAATGCCAATCAAATTTCTTCTTGAACCAAAAAAGAAGGCTTTAAAAACTGAAAAAAGCGTCTGTAACAGCATTTATTCATGAATATGGCTTGTATATAGCTTGGGCACCTTAAAGATTTTGCATACTACGTGTTTCATTGTAACACCAGGGCTCATAGCATACATGTAGTGTGCGTTTCATCTGTTAAATAAGGCCACATTATAGAACAAGGAGTAACTGGACATTTTACGTATACAATAAAATGAATACATGGCTGGGTGCATTAATATGAAGAAAATTATGTCAAGGATGTTGGAAATTAATGTGATGGACTGTTTACTAACAATGTGTTTCCCGCATATTAAAGTTGAATATAAACTAGCATTTTAAGACAACCATTGTCAAACCTAAGGGTGCTGTGTCCGTTTTTGCTCCTCTCAACCACCATGTACTATTCTGATTCCGCCCTTCATGTTCAACAAGCTTTTTTGTACTGCAGTTGGTACTGCCATGATATATCAAATAAGAATTTTCCAGTTCATATACGTCATTTTTGTACACTATCACTACTTAGTTCTAGAAAATGCAAGTGACTTAAGTGTGTTCGAACATTTCTATTTCTTCTGAAATACATTTTTGTATGCATTTGCCTAATATATTTCATAATAATCATATTGACATAGAAAGCACAAAGTGTCTTTATGTGTATGAAAGTAAATATCAATCATGAAGAAGAGTAAATTTGTTCGGAGTTTGAAAACACAGATGTAAGACTCTTTAAGTGTTTATTTTGTAACAACTTGAGTTCCTTGACCAGGTATTACCCATGTTATTACAAGACTCAAAAAAGCTGAGAATTGGTTACTGATGTTAACATTTTGTCAGAGGATGGAATTGGTCCATTCAATATTGCACAGGATAAAAAAGCTGGAAGCTTTAACCTGTTCATGTATGGTGGTTTTTCAGTCAAATTTCATCAAAGGTTGAAGGCTCCTCATACCAGCATTAAGTCATAAAAACTGGCTAACAAGATATTTGGAGAGAGCAGCTCACATAGTCGATGCCTATTCATGTAGATACAGGGTCGGCTCTTTCACGTGAGACACTTCGAACATATCCACTTTTGTGATTCTGCACCCTGTACAAATGTGCATGGAGCACAAGCTTGTTTTTCTGTTTGGAAACTGAAGACTTCTTAGCAATCAGAATAGTCCTTTAGCAAGGAGTGCAAAAAGGACCAATTGCATTAACACAAACCCTCTATTTAGTCTTTAAAAAGGACCTACTTCTCACAAAATGATTGCACAGCCGACAGTGATGCCTGCCATTGTAAAAGTTTTAATAGGACTACTTAGTAATCTGACCAAAGGGCATTTGGAGAACTGAGCTTAATAGAAAGCTGCAACCCAAAATAAACAAAACAAAACAAAATTAAAACCAGCTTAACAATACTGTAGAAAATAGTTCCCACACAAACTCACAATTCAGAGAGATTTTACTTTCTCTGGCTCCAAATATTCCAGACTTTAAACTAAAGAATCTTATGATAGTTACAATAAGCTGTAAGTGACACTTGGAAATGAAAAATCAAACTCTTCAAACTGGGAAGAGGCACGTAGGTTAGTAGCTGCATCCAAACATTTAGTAGAACTTGGCATGTTTGCCGCAGTCGGGGTGAATGCACTTT